GAAGGGCAGTGGGAGCAGCGCCAGTGCAAGTGACGGAGCTGTGACCCCCCCCACCCCCGGGTGACACGTGTCCGAATCCAGTGTCTCATGAGGGGCTGCAGGAGGGCGATTCCCTCCTTCTCCAGTTCTAATTTCTCCCTCATGTAATGATCCTGAGCCCATGAAGTGAAGCTGTCGTTCGTCAGCTCTGTGCTGTCCTGAAATGTAGTTTGTATGGAGACGGGCGCGTACGTGGTGACTCTGTACTATTGTGTCATTTCTGGTTTCAGTCATTTCTTTTTTTTTTTTTTTTCAACGTTTATTTATTTTTGGGACAGAGAGGGACAGAGCATGAACGGGGGAGGGGCAGAGAGAGAGGGAGACACAGAATCGGAAACAGGCTCCAGGCTCTGAGCCATCAGCCCAGAGCCTGACGCGGGGCTCGAACTCACGGACCGCGAGATCGTGACCTGGCTGAAGTCGGACGCTTAACCAACTGCGCCACCCAGGCGCCCCATGGTTTCAGTCATTTCTCACCTGAGCCCTGGTGCTCGTAGTAAGAAATGGTGTTTGATCCCACAACATAGATGCCAGGAGTGCTCAGAGTTCCGGGTTATTATGGCTTTCACTTTTCTCAGTGGATATCTACAAAGGGAGTAATTTTTAGAGATGAGGATTCAACTATAGATCACAGTTTTGCTAATCCTTAAAAATTGTATATTTGCATTTTCCCCTTATACTGACATCTTGCTAAGTAACGCTCTCAACATGAATTTAAAAATACGAATATAAACAAATTGTAATCACCACTAACAACACTAAGCCCACAGGATGCAATTTAAGATTTTTTCATTCTCTCTCCCCCCGTCCCCCTCCTCTAGGGCACCTTGTGCTCATGAATAAACTCGGGGGCCAATACTGCCCTCTTTTCTGTGCTGTAGCTTATAGCTTCTTTAACATTCTGGTGGAGGAGATTTCTCACTACTTTTCTTGTTTTAAGGATTCTCTTTCTGCTCTAGGTGATGGTAGTTTTATACTTTCTTAATTTTGAAACCATGCCCCATCTGGCCCAGCAGGGATTTTCCGGGACCGCAGGGATTTTCCGGGACCGCAGACACTCACGCTTGCCTGGGACAGTCGGCTCTTGGAGCTCTTCCTGCGACAGCCTCGTGTCCCCTGTGTGGTCCCTGGGCAGAGGATGGTCAGCCAGAGTCCCTGCCCTTCCTCCCTTCCCAGCTTCTGCGATGACACCTGTTATTGTACTCTTTTTGATTACAGCCATCTATCAGGTGTGAGGTGCTAGCTCAATGTGGATTTGATTTACATTTCCCTGAATTCCAGGTAAACAACAAAATCATTGTAGTTTATGTCCAAATATTGCATTGCATTTTGCACTTTCCTGTAAATCTGACAACCTTTGTGAGGCTTATGAGTGCACACACACACACACACACACACACACATTTACCTTTGAGAAGGGTCCAATGCAGACCAACATAACTGATCCTAATTTCTTCTAATAAAGCTGGTTCAATGATTATCAGATTTGCTCAGCTGTTTTCCAAAGTCCAATGTGAGGAATGTCTTAAGGAGCCTGATGGTCGTCATCTGTTGACTGGGAATACTAATGTGTGCCTCACAGAATTTTACAACTCTCAAGGGTTACGAAAGTAATGTTTATGTTTGAAAAAGGGCCTGGTCCCAGCGTTGAGATGTAGTGGGTGCTCTGATGTAGATACAGAATTAGAAATGACAGGGGCGCCTGGGTGGCGCAGTCGGTTAAGCGTCCGACTTCAGCCAGGTCACGATCTTTCAGTACGTGAGTTCGAGCCCCGCGTCAGGCTCTGGGCTGATGGCTCAGAGCCTGGAGCCTGTTTCCGATTCTGTGTCTCCCTCTCTCTCTGCCCCTCCCCTGTTCATGCTCTGTCTCTCTCTGTCCCAAAAAATAAATAAAAAACGTTGAAAAAAAAATTAAAAAAAAAAAAAAAAAAGAAATGACAGGTCCACTCAATGTGATGTGTTCACGGTACTGAGGAGGGACGGGGGTTCGAATCCTGCCTCAGCTGCTCATGATCTTGTTATATTGAAGGAATCACCTGCTTTTGGGAGCTGTTCTCTCATCTTTAAAGATGAGAAACAACGAGGCATCTGGAATGAGGGTTTTATTCTTCAGCTTGAAGTGTTTAAAGTTCTGTGATTCTGTAGCAAAGTATGAATGTCCAGGATGCTACCCATGATTTAATTTTTAAAAAATGAGATTATTAATCTAACAAATGAGAAATAAATTTTAGAAAAAATGTGGATTCAACACAAAGTGTTATAAACATGTAAAAGGAAGAAAAAAGGAAGAATATTTTATGGACAGTCCACTTATCAAAATATACAAATATCTTTCCTCTTTTGGACTTTCGGGCTTGTCCCATTCACCGAAAGTTGACATCATGTCTGCATCCATTTATTCCACGTGACCAAGGGAAGCGGTCACACTGGACGAGATCTCAGACTCTCTGCTGGGTGGAGGGGAGCTGCCCCAGGTGAGGCGAGCACGCCAGCCTCTCAGAGGTTAACTGAGCAGGTCCAAGCTTCAGCACCTGGCCCTCTGTGCAGGGTCTGCCTGAGTCCACACCTGCTGTGACCCAGCCGCCTCTCCCCTGGGGCTGAGGTCTGGGGCCATCAGAGCAGCTTCATTCAGGCAGCAGCGGGATGACCTGGGGGGACAGGACGTCCTGCTCCCTCAAGTGCAACGTAATTTCTCTCTTCCTGGAGTCAGTGGGGTCCTGATCAGAACTCTCCACTCTCCACATAAAGGTGGCTACTCTTTCTCTCCTGCTGAAGAGTTTTCCTTATTATTTCTTTAAACAGGAGCATCTTTTAAGAAATATGACCTTTAATGCCACTTAGAGAAGAGGAGGGACGCCCCACAGCAGGAAGAGAAGTAGAGGAAAGGTGAACAATGGTCACCTGCTGACATACATCTCCAGGCCCAGGATGGAGCCGCTCCTGCCAGGGTCCCAGGTCAGCAAGCAGAAATGTAGGTCCCTTTCCTGTCCCTGTCAATGCTGCCCTTGACCAGAAACAGTATATCCCAGCCAGCCGGTCCCCATCACCAAGAATCTGTAATGATTTCCCTGTTCTAAATGGGATCAGATATGTGACCCCAGCCAATCAACCTGAGCCAAAAGCTCTCTCCTTATTCCCTCAGTGACCTGCTAGCCTTGTAGGGAGATCCCTGAACCCCACCTAATCCTGCCTGTTCCCCCTTGGCCGCTTCTAAGGCTCTATAGACTCCCTCTTGCCCAAATCCCTGGGGAACCGTGTCCACTGCTTGTGAGGCACTGAATGCCCCAAACCGTGGTTTATTCTTCTTTCAATAAAGGACATCACAGTCTACAAACTAAATTGTTTCACTTTTGCCATTTGACACACCCAAGAGAGTATTTGGCTGGAGGTTTGGGGCAGACTTCATTACCCACTAAGGATGGTCATGGCCAACAATTTTGGGCCTTTAATTTGAGCAGTTTTTGAACAAACATGGTAAAAGTCATTGAGAGAAACAGATTTTTGAATGCTGACCATGTGAAATAAGATTTGTTTTCATAAAAGAAGAGAAGGTTGTGGATTTTCTTCCCCAAAGTAAGATTTTCCTATCAGTGAAAATCTAGGAAATAGAGAAAGCAGGAAGAAAAATGTCACCCAATTTGTCACCACCCACACTGCTCACCTTCTATATTGAGACTCTTTCCACCTGCCGTTTTGCTGGTCAGATGTCTCCCCCGTTGTCACTCTCTGTTCCACTTAATACTTAATAAGCACAGCTGCCCTAGACACCTGCTGAGGGTCTGAATGATTGGCCTGGAATATTCTTTTAGCAGAATATTCCAGTCAACACCTCACCAAATCAGCACTACCCCAACCTGCATTTTGGGACACATGAGCCTTGAATCCCGGTTTATAGCTCAGCATGTCTGCCTTCCAGTTTTACCAGGAGGAGGAGCACGGGAGCTGGGTCTGGTCATGGGTGCTGCAGGACCCAGCCCTCCAGCCCAGCCAAGTCCCTTTCCTGGCTGTCCCCACTGCCTCGCCCTCCAGGAGGTCAGGGTATAATGAGTATAACGAATTACTATAACTATACCCAGGAAGCCTTGGTATACTTGCCATAAATGAAAAGGAATATTCCTTTCAGTTGGAAGTCAATGCAAACTTTATCTCTCAAAATTTCATTTCAGACACATTCCTCAGCTGCCCTTTCACGAGGCACCACCTTTAGCATTTCTGAGGATCTGACCCTGGGACTGCAGGACCTGGTCCCACTGCCTGGTCTACACCACCCCTGGGTCAATGCAGGCTTCTTCCTTTGGATACACACACACACACACACACACACACACACAGGTGTGCCCACACAAGCCAACATCCCTTTTTTTCAAAACTAATCCTATGCTATGAGAAAACATCTACTGCCCAGAAAACTACTGCCAATAGTCCAGCGTTGAGGTGAAACACGCGTCCCCAACATTTCCTGAGCCTTGTCTATGCACCTGGGACAGGCTACACGCTTTGCTCACATTTCCTGTTCACTCTGCCTGCAAACGAACGAGGTCCCTTTTGACAGATGAGGAAAAGGAGGAGAAACAGCTCGCCCATGACTGCATAGGGCATTTAATCTCCTGATGCCACCTCTGGGGACAATGCTCCAGTGCCTGCTCAGGAGCCCCGTGCCTTTTAGGGGGGAATTGCTGTTCTGCTTGTCCCTGCCCCCCAGGGAGGCCACACACCCATTGCTCTGTGAGTGCCAGGTGGCCATTTGAGGCTTGGGATTTGTCTCCAGCCAGACCCGGCTGTCATCCCACCTGATTCGCCTTAGGCATGCAGCCTTGGAAGAGACACTGAGCAGAAACCTATTAGTGCTCTGCTCAAACAAAGTCAATGTCCAATCAAAAATTGCTATTCTTAGTGGTGCTATTATTAGTATTAGAACTGCACCAAAGTTCTTCAGTGTTTCTTAGCACCCTGACCACTGGTGGTCCCTCTCCCTCTTGTGGTCAGACCTGTCCCCGCTCTGGCTCCTCCCTCCCTCCTCCCTCCCTCCTCTCTCTCACCAGTGCCTGCAGGTGCCTCAGGGAAGCAGAGCTCAGACCCTAACCTGCCCTCTGCCACCCATCCAGTCAGTCTCCGTCCAGCAGGTGCAGCTGAGAGGTCACCCTGGGCTTCTCCCCACCAGCGGGGAAGCAGAACCATGCTGGGTCCCCTCGCCTTCCTGTGTGCCCTCCTGTTTCCAGGTAGGTCCCAACTCCTTCCCTGGTGCGGGGTGACCCTGGTGTGGGGTGAGCTGAGGCTCCTATCTTTCTCCATCTCACCACTGTCCCCCTTGCAGGTGGCGAGGCAGCGATCAGTCTGACTCAGCAGGCTGTGGCCGTGGGGCGTGTGGGCAGCTCGGCCACCCTCTCCTGCCAAGCCAGCGCCTCCGTCAGCTACATCCACTGGTACCTCCACCAGGAGGGGACTGACCCCAAGAGGATCCTCATGCTGGACATGTCAAGGTTACATGTGCAGAGGTATGGGGGCTTGGAAGCGGACAAAATCGATGCCAAGAAAGGCAAGGAAAGCAACAGCTGTGAACTGTCAGTGAAGAAGCTGCAGAAGAGTGACGAGGGCGTGTACTACTGTGCTGCCTGGGAAGCTCACAGCCCCGCGCGCTGCTCTGCTCCCTGAGCAAAAAGTCTCGCTCTCCCAGGGCGCTCCAGGCCCGGACCTCCCAGGGTTGCTGGGTCCCTGGGGCTTCCTGGGGTCAACGGTCAGTACCCCTGACACTCACGCCCTCTCCGCGGGTCCACTGCGCATAACCCAGGAGGCTAAGGAGCCCCTGGTGGGCAGCCTGGTGCAGAACCAGGGAGCTGTCCAGTCTGGAGGCACTTTGTTTTTAATGTTTATTTATTCTTTTTTTTTTAATGTTTATTTATTTTTGAGAGAGAGACAGAGAGAGGAAGGGTCAGAGAGAGAGGGACACACAGAATCCGAAACAGGCTCCAGGCTCCAAGCTGTCAGCACAGAGAACAATGCGAGGCTCGAACTCACGAACCGCGAGATCATGAGCTGCAGTCGGACACTTAACAAACTGAGCCACCCAGGCGCCCCAAATGTTTATTTATTCTTGACAGAAAGAGGGAGAGAGAGGGAGAGAGACCGAGTATGATTGGGGGAGGGGCAGAGCGCAAGAGGGACTCTGAGCTATCAGCACAGAGCCCTAGGTGGAGCTCGAACTCACCAACCATGAGATCATGATCTGAGCCAAAGTCAGACACTTAGCAAACTGAGCCTCCCAGGCCCACCTAGAGACACTTTTCTAAAGATTGTCCAGGGTGGAGCTTCTGAAGCATCTGGAGCAGGATCTGAGCTGCTCAAGGCAGCAGCCACAAGCACCAGGCACCAGCCTCATGTAGCTACTGAGCACTTGAAATGTAGCCAGTGCACTAGTCCACGCCGAGATGGGCTGCTTGTGTAGCATACAAATCATATTCTGGAGACTATAAAAGAAGATGAAATATATCCTTAAAAATTTCTGTATTGATTGCACACTGAAATACTATTTTGGGTATCATTCACTAAATAAAATTCGTCTGAGAATTATTTCTTTAACTTTGTTTTTAACACAGCAGTTAGGAAATTATTAATTTGTCCCTCAAATTCTGTCTTACACTTATTTCTATTGAACAGGGCTGTGACGGATGGCCATTTAAGATTCTGACCACATCCCCTGAAGAATGCAGGAATAAAATATCGTGCAAATAATTTCAAGGCCGAGAGACTCTCTGGGGATTCCGCACAAAATGGGTGCAAGCAGAGACTGGAAGGCAGCTCCTGACTCCAGTTTCTAAGTTGCCGCCCCGCCCACCGCTGGTTCCTGTGCAGAGAGAGACTCTTTGATCAGAAGCCCAGGAAACAGTGTGGCTGACTTCGCAGCACCCTCACCCATGCCTGGCGCTCACTCTCCTGCGGGGGAAATGATCCTCAGGGCAGGTGCACGCATTGGCCCTGGACGAGACCCCAGGCCCTCCGCCTTCCCCGTCTCCTTGAAAGTGACTCTATATGGGATTTGGGGACCAGCTTCCCTGGACCTCTGTTCTCTCCTCTGTAAAGTGAGGAGGTTTAACTGCTACCGTTGCGTGACCGATTTCTGTATTAAAGCAAAATTATACCAAAAATATATCACTATGTTCACTAACTTCTAATAAAGCTAGTCAACCTCTTGACCAAAAGAAAAAAAAAAAAAAGAAAAAAGAAAGAAGAGAAATTAAGGAAAAGAAAAGCTATTTACTGATTCTCCGGCCCCAAACAGAAAGGCCCTGCTGTGTGGGGGGAAGATAAAGCTCTCTGAGGAGGTCTAAGCTGAATTAAATGCATTTTCAATTGAAAATTCCAACTTTATGTGACATAATAGCATTGGCAAAAATGATTAATGAAAGGGAAGTCTAAATGATTGGAAGTTAATTGGTTTCTCGGATTTGCTAAATCTTCCTCCATCTCGATGAGCTTCTGTTTTTGTGGATGAAGATTTATATTTAAGACATGCCTCGCCTGGGTGGCGCAGTCGGTTAAGCGTCCGACTTCAGCCAGGTCACGATCTCGCGGTCCGTGAGTTCGAGCCCCGCGTCGGGCTCTGGGCTGATGGCTCGGAGCCTGGGGCCTGTTTCCGATTCCGTGTCTCCCTCTCTCTCTGCCCCTCCCCCGTTCATGCTCTGTCTCTCTCTGTCCCAAAAATAAATAAACGTTTAAAAAAAAAAAAAAAAAGACATGCCTGTCTGTGAAGGAGCCCAAACAACATCTGGACCCTCTACTGAAGTCCCGGGTCAAGGTTAAGGCCTCCAGCAAGTGCAGGAAGTGTGTGAGGGGGGGAGGGTTTAGGGGGCAGAAAGTCACCTTCCCTCCCTCTTGGGGGTGGTCCCCTCATTTGTCATCCCCATTTCCTAATACAACCCAACCCTCTCGTCTTGCTGCACCTTCTCAGTGCCTGACTCCACAGAGGGGTCTCTGAGACCTGATTATTATGGTTTAGTTAGAGAGAAGTGAGATAAATACGAAGACACTCTCATGAGAAGTGATCCCAAGTCCATGTCAATCTCAGTTTTCCACGTGGATCCATTGTGCTTTTGATGTACAGCCTGAGAGGACAGTGGCCTTGTACAGGGAGGAAACACCCCCTTTGTGGAGGAAGAAACAAGTCTATGTTTGGAGTCATTTCTTCCTCCTGCCCTTCTCCTTTTGGCTAAGGTGAGCTTCACCCAGGACACTTTGGCCACACAAACCAGCCAGAGGCCAACCAGTCCATACAGAGAGGTATGGCTTGTTACGAACACTACTGACCTGCCTCACTGTGGTCACAAAACAACATAGAGAGACCCATTACGAGGTCATGAAATCGTAGGACATTATAATAAATCACGATAAAGAGACTATTTCTCACACTGTCACTAGGTAACACCTCACAACCAGCTGAAAGAAATATAAGCACTCATGTGCATGTGATGACCTTGTCCCCCAGGGCAGCAATGTTGGGGACAGTTCTGTCACTGCCATTATCGTTCTGATCACTTGATATGTGGCAGGTGCGATCATCAGGAGATACTGAAGGAGTAAACGTGCATTTGTGAGCTTGGGCCCATCCTGCCCCCTTAGCACAGACCACAGGCTTGCATCCCACAGGCCCCAGGGGACACAGAAGAGAAGCAGAGAGAAGAAGGGACGATGGACAAAGAGGCTCCTATGAAGAGGGCGCTGAGAGGACAGGAAGTGGTCATCAGAAGACAGGGAAATACACAGATGTCAGAATAACGAAGAATTTCAAGTAGCTACTGTGACCGTGGAAGGAGAGGTAGAGGGAGAGAGAGTGTGTAAAGTCAATAAGAGAGAGAGAAATAGAAATAGAAACTAGGTGGTAGATAGAGATGAACAGAGACAGAAACACAGAGACAAATAAGAGACATGTAGAGAGAAACAGAGAGAGAGAGAGAGAGATCAGGAGGAGACAGAGGAGAGATAGAGAGAAATAAAGAAGGAGGAGACCCCGCTGGAAAGGGAGACGTGGAGACAAAGACGCAGAGGGACGGACAGCAACAGGAAATGAGAAAGGCAAAGAGCTGGACACAGCGAGGGAGACAGAGGGACGTCAGGAGGGGACAGGGACACGGAAGAGCAGTGGGAGCAGCGCCAGTGCAGGTGACGGAGTTGTGACCCCCTTCCCCCGGGTGACGCGTGTCTGAATCCAGTGTCTTATGAGGGGCTGCAGGAGGGTGATTCCCTCATTCTCTTATGATTAGGACTCTGGGGGTCCCCTTCTTTGGGGGTGTGGATTTGTCTCCCAGTCAAAGAACAAGTGTGGATACTGAGGGACATTAAGGGTGGATTCTGCTGGAAACTTCTGTTCCCCCCCACCTTTCCCCACCCTACTCTGTGACCCCCTGAGACTAACCCCTATGGATTCCACTAATGGGCATCTTTGCTCTGATTTCTCTTTAATGGTGGCAAATCCAAATTGAAGTTTAAAAAATCATCACCATGTCACCAGACAAAAACATTCCTTCTTGAGCACTAGATTTCCAAGCCTGTGGATCCAGGGCCCTGGGAGAAAAGAAACAGATTCCTCCAGTGGGCTAATTGGTATAAAAGGGAATGGCCACTCCCCCCTGCACCTTTTATTTCCTGAGCATAAAGCTCTGTCACTGGGGTAGATGACCTTATATGTTGGGCCCCGGGGGATGCTGCAGCCAACCCAACCGTCAGGGAGGGAACCCTGAGCTCACTCTGCTCCCAACTCCCAGCCTCCTCATGATGCTTCCACTGCTTCCAAATAGCAACCAGAGAATAAGGAAACCCATCCATGTGGTCCATGAGGGTCCACCTCGTAACGCACAGGACAAGGTAACCGGAGGTGGACAGTCCATCTGGAGGAGCAAAAGGAAGAAATCAAGCAGATGGTCAAATAAGTGGGTTATGTTAGTTCTAACTTGGTAGAACAAGCTGGAGAGTAGGGGGAAGATTTTATCTAGTTTGTTTCATTTCAGTTTCCACAAAGCCACCAAGGTCCCATCTCTAACGGAACAAGATGCTCCCTGTTCCTTCAGTAACAAAACAGGAAACTGGATTAAGTGTTGAGAGATTATCATTAAATTCTGTGCCTTTCTATTTGATGAACTAAGAAAGGAGCATGTAGATTATTTGTAATGTTTTTTTTCCTTCTGTTAAATAATGGATTTATTGACTTTTTCAGTAAGTTATCAACATATAAATTAAAAAAAATAAATAACATAAAAGAGATCCATGTGTAGATAAATAATTGTAGTGCTTTATGAACTGATACTATGATGTATCCAGTTCTGTGTTCTGGATGTTAATACAATAAACAAATGTACAAGAGTGAAACAATGCCAGTTCTTATTAAATAACTAAGACTAGAGAAATGCCTGTCACTTTCAGAATGTTAACAAAATCCACCTCCCACACTTGTTTTAACTGATCCATCTTTTCTGTAGTTTCTTAATCTACTTGTTTTGTCACTTTTGAGTCAATTATATTTAACTGTTTCAATCACAACCTGATCATTCCAGCCTACTGTGGTTCTGTTGTCTTTTTTTTTTTTAACTTCTAAATTCAAGTTCCAGAATGATTGCCAAAAATCTGAAGTTATATTCTGAAAGCC